GCTTGTCTGCTTTTTACACAACCAACTAGTTCAAAGTCTTGCCCTATGAGCAGGTTTAGGTAACTGATCCTAAGAGCGATAGAAGTATCCGTGTCATTTTTAAGTGGGGAAAGAAAATGACTACTCGACTACTCTCTAACTCAGATACACTGAGTACATGCAGGATTCGGAAAGCAGCACCTGCAGAATGACAGACTGACAGCAGCTATGTGCCATAAGGAAAGCCCAGGCATCATCTTGGACCAGGGCCGGGTAATGGCGATGGTTCAGCTTGTCAGGGTGCCACGTGTAACACAAACATATGAAAGATTGTCAATGTGAATTTTAGAACTTCAGGGGAAATGAGTAGAATGTGAGGAAAGGTCTAGAAACCCCAGGTGCCGCCGCCACCACAGCACAGACACAGGTGGTGTATACCAGCACTGGCCAGCTGGCCATCAGGCTGATACTGTCCACCTGGCCAAACAGTTGGCAACTGTCACCCAAGCTCCTAATTTTGAATCCCCTAAACGAGTGACCTATGCACCACACAGATCAAAGAGCAGCACGGGAATGTGAGGTGCTTTGGGGAGTCCCCCCTGCAGCACTCTAGAACACATTTAGGACCCAGCAAAAACCCCAGGGAAATGACTTTCTGTGAACAGTGAAGTTTCCCGTATGTGGTAGCCATGGTACAGGTCAATAGAGAACCTGGACCCAGGGGGAGAGAACAAACTACTCCGCTGATTCTTTGTAATCCCTTCTTTAACACTGAGAGTTCACAAATCAGGACTATGTGCTAAAGCAAACAAGCAGCTCAGAGGCTGCATGGGCTTGGCAAATGATCTGCTACAGCTACTGTCATTCTGTCTGCTGCTTTACCCCTCGCTCTCAGAATGGTTTGCAAGACAGCATGCAGTTCTCCCAAACTGCTGTTACCCTTGGCAGTGAGCTGCTGTGGCTCTGAGGACAAGTCAAGCTCTGAAACGGGCTGTGGAGATGGAGAAGAGCTAGGGCTGGAAGCAGCGGCTGAGGCTGGAGGGCTTACCAACTTCTCTAAAGGAAGATAAAGGAGAAAGAGCAAAAAGAAAGCACACAAATAAGTCAGGATACACTTGTCTTGTGTCTAGCAAGCTTGGAAAGAGCCAAGCAACCTCTTGTAGGACTCTGTCATACAAACATATTTTAGAAACAGAGAGCTGGGCTGGGAAGGCCACCTGTCACACTAGGAACAGCAACCAAGACAAGCATGATTTGTAGCAGCAAGTGGCCTACAGACCTCATTTAGGGTTCCCTGTCTCACTACTTCATGCTGGATTCTGAGCAAGGGCGGTGGATTACCTGCCAATTCTATACTCTGAGCCCATCTGCAAAGCTAGGTCCAGGTAAAGGACAAGGCGGGATCCCTCTCTACATATGGAGAGTAGAATCATACTCTGGAGTTGTTCAATCTCAGTTGAAACCATTTTTGAGCGAGGCACTTGCAGTAGAACAAGGGACATGATGGGTGGGTTTGTATTTCACTTCTATATTTACAGGCTTATAAATGTGCAAATAGCTAGACCTCATCTGTAACACTACATATATATCAGCTATTTCTTCTTTGAAGCAGATATACCAGGACTTCCACCTATTTATTTTTAGAGACAGAGTCTCGCTGTGTCACTCAGGCTAGAGTGCAGTGGTGCAATCTCGGCTCACTGCAACATCCGCCTCCCAGGTTTAAGCTATTCTTATGCCTCAACCTTCCAAGTAGCTGGGATTACAGGTGTGTCCCACCACACCCAGCTAATTTTTGTATTTCTAGTAGAGACAGGATTTCCCCATGTTGGCCAGGCTGGTCTCGAACTCCTGACCTCATGATCCACCTGCCTTGGCCTCCCAAAGTGCTGGAATTCCATGCGTGAGCCACCATGCCTGGCCCAGGACTTCCACCTAGATCCACCCTGACTCTTCGAATGAATTTTGATTTGATTATTCTGTTCCAACACTCAGGCCGCTGCCTCTTTTACTCTCAGTTGAGTAGTTACTAAATGCTCTCACAAGCTGAAGTTGCACTGGGTAATTTACTAAGTGTGCAATAAAACAGTCTATAAGCTGAGCGTGACAAGAATGCATGTCCCCACTCTCAGGCTCCATCGCTCCACTCAGTGACAGTTACACGCAAGGGTAGTTTACCAGACAGAAACAGGTCACTCACCTAGACCCAGGGAGGCGGCATACTGCTGGCTGAGCAGGGAGCTGGCCGCCAGCGGGCCGTAGGGCGCCATCCCTCGGAAAGGGCTGTAAGGCACGTGCGGCTGGAAGGGCGAGGCGGAGGCAGAACCCAGGGAAGACTGAACAATGAGACATCGGGTGAGAACAGCGAAGGCCATCCCATCACCCCACACGCCTGCATCAGAGTGCTTGTTCAGCTGAGAAACAAGCACTGTCCCATCAGCCTGCATCCTTGAGATGCTGGAGGAGCCCTTGGGGTACCAGTTTCCAGTATGGTGAGAGCTGCCTTTTCCACAGCATTTCAGCTCCAGTTCCACCTGTCCATGTAATCATGCAATTCTTTTTTCTTTCTTTTTTTTTTTTTTTTTTTGAGACATTGCATTGCTCTGTCGCCTGGGCTGGAGTGCAACAGCGCGATCTCAGCTCACTGCCTCCCAGATTCAAGCAATTTTCCCTGCCTCAGCCTCCCGAGTACCTGAGACTACAGATGCCCACCACCACATCCAGCTAATTTTTATACTTTTAGTAGAGATGGCGTTTTGCCATGTTGGCCAGGCTGGTCTTGAACACTTGACCTCAGATGATCTGCCCTCCTCAGCCTCCCAAAGTGCTGAGATTACAGGCGTCTTGTCCATGTAATTCTAACCCAAATTTCTCCTAACTCAAAGCCATCAGATGGCTCCCCACTGCTGCCAAAGCCTGCCCCATGTGATCCCACCTTCCAGGACGGGTGCTCGGCACAGAACCTGGTGCAGTCTGAACCCCAGAGGAGCCAGTGAATATTTAAGTTTAGGAGTAAAGAAAATATTAATCTGGGCTCCCTGGTGTGAGCATGGGCAAAATAAGCCATAACCCAATAAGCAGGCACGTGGCATCAGACTTACAAATCTGGTGTCGTAAAACAGCAGCATGTAACATCTGGGCATAACCCAAGGGCAAGCCCGCAGTCCCTGCAGGTATGTCATCCCACTCACAGCAGCTGCTGAGGGCTCAGACTTCTCCAACCAGAAACTTAAGGGCAAACGCTATGCCCCAAACATTACAGGTCCAGGAGCATCCACTCACACTACACTACACTACACACGTGCGTGCACGCCCAGCTCCCCAAGTCTCCTTAAGAGCCATGAGACACAGCACACACCACCTACTGTGTGTGCTACAAGAATCAACACCTTCCATGAGAACAGCAATGGCCTAGACAAAAAATAAGCCACTTTTCATTAAAAGGATATTCCTCAGGCCGAGTACGTTGGCTCATGCCTGTAATCCTAGCACTCTGGGAGGCCAAGGCGGGCAGATCATGAGGTCAAGAGATTGAGACCATCCTGACCAACATGGTGAAACTCTGTCTCTACTAAAAATACAAAACTTAGCTGGGCGTGGTGGTTCGTGCCTGTTAGTCCCAGCTACTCGGGAGGCTGAGGCAGGAGAATCACTTGAACCCAGGAAGCAGAGGTTGCAATGAGCTGAGATCACGCCACTGCACTGCAGCCTGGCAACACAGTGAGACTCTGTCTCAAAGGAAAAAAAAAAAAAAAGGTTATTCCTCACATTGAGCATTCTGACAAAACATGCCACCAAGCTCCAAATTGAAACCAGCATCTCTTAGTGTGCACAGAGGGACAGTGGCACACTTACCTGAACAATGGCGGGATCCTGTGGGAGTGTGTGCTGAGCTTTTGGAGGTTCACACACAGTGATATCTTTGATGTCACTTCCCCGGAAAATGATGTACTCATAAATCTCCTCTCTGGGGGGCGCAGGCCTATCTGTGGGACGGTCTTCAGTGCCAAAGGACCTCACTTATGAGTGGAGAAAGAGAAACGTTATTGTTGTCCTCAGCCAGTTCAATCAACCCTGACACCACTGCTCCCAAGTCTTCCAGAAGACGGCGGCACTTGCTCAGAGCCATAACACAGGACTCTAGGTCCACATTTCAACAACTACTTAACACCCCAATTTTCAGTGGACAGTGCTGATAACGCACCAATTGGTGAAGCTCCAGACAACAGACAGTTCTAGATCACAAAGATGACAAGGAACAATTTCACAGACTGTCTCATGTCCGAACACACCAACCTACAGAGCTCTCAGCAAAACAAGGCTTGCTTCGCAAGGCCTCCCTGTTCACATATGACTCTGTAGATCAAACAGCCAGCTGGCTGCTTTATGCCCAAAGCCTCACCACACACTGCACCTGAGGAGGCAGTTTTCTCACAAAGGAACCTAGATGAGTGTTCCCCTTAACCTTTTATCCACAGCAAACCTTGGAACAGTTGTAACAGAAAACAAAAGGAGACAGGGTCCCAAGATTGTGGACCTCTGACCCCGGCTTCCGCACCTATAAGGAATTCTGAGCCCACTAACCCCTAACCAGCAGGCTTCCAGAGCCCTACCAAATCTCCTTTTAGCAAGCCTCTAGGGGCAGAGCTGGGTGGGACAGCAGCCTCTAACTCATAAAAGCACAACTCCTACTAACTCCTGGGCCTACTGTGGGCTGTCTCTCTAACTGGGCTCTCCTGTAATAAGTGTAGTGAGGTCCCACGGCTGCAAGTGAGTGCACAGCCCTGGCATGCTCAGCGAGCTCCTGGAGCCACGCAGGAGACACTCCCTGTTTGGAACGAGGAGTTCTTCTACACATGCGGCTCCCTGTGACCTAAGAAGCGTTTCAGACGCGTCTAGACATTCAAGAACCCCTGGGAGCTGAGCACCAGATCCAGCACACGTGGGCTTAGGCAGACATGGCTCCACCGGCACTTTTCTCTGAGAGGCAGGGGAAGTGCACTCCCCATCTTCTCTGGCTGATGAAGACAAAGAAACTCTGGACCACCCGCTGTCTCAACAACCTCAGAGATTCTGATTCTAGAGAACAACCCCTTTCCTGTAAGTCTCCCAGCGGCTACAGCGGGTTATCAGCGCCCACAGGCGGCTGTCACCAAAAGGTAAGCCCCACAGTGTGAACGTCAGGATACAGCAGGAGAACCGTTTAAACTGGGGCATCTGGCTGCCAAACGGATGCTTCTGCCTTGGTAGGAGGCTGCATTAGGGCGCGGTATTTGTTCAGGATCAAGGCCCCAGCTGTCTAATAGGTTCCAGAAAGGCTTGCAGGATTCGCGTGTTGTGACCCCGCCCCCAGCCTTCGGGAGAGGCCGGGAACACTGGCCCCGCCGCCCGACCTCGAGGCTCCCCGGCAGGAATCTCCCCAGGCTGGCGGGGAGGAGGCCCGCAGACGGGAGCCGGCCTGCCCCTCGGAGCTGGCACCTGCAGAGGTGGGCTGGGCGGCCGAGGGGGCGGCGCCGCCGGGGCCGGGCCCGCCCCTCACCAAACACCGCCCGGCGCCCGCGCACAATAACGCCGCCCTGGGAGCCTAGGGAGACCATTGTGCGGCCGGCTGCTCTGGGGGGGGGCGGCGCGCGGGAGGGGGCGCCCCGGGGGCGTCCGGGGTGAAGGCGCGGGCAGGAGATCTCGGCCCAGGGGTGCCCTGGGTGGGTTCCGGGCGGGGTCTGGGCGCCAGGCTCCGGGGCGGTACGGGAGTCTCAACGCCAGGCTTGGGGGCGCCCCGGGGCGGGGAGGGCGGCGCGGGCCGGGGCTGTTGGCGGACGGGGGTCGGCGGGCTCCGCGGGCTCGGGTGGTTGGGGCCGGCGGGCGCGAGGGCGGGCGGCGGCCGCTACCTTTGGCAAGCGCCACGGTGGAGTTGTCGGTGTCGATGGTGTAGAGAATGCCCTCGTAGCGGATCTGCGCCTTGGAGATGAGGCTGATCTTGCTGCCCAGATACGGGGTGCCTGAGGAGCCGCTCATGGCGCCGGCCGGGGTGCGTCGGGCCGCGGGGGGGGGACGAGCGCCGGGCCGCGGCCCGCTCCGCAGCCGCGCGGTGGCCTGGCCGCCCGTTCCTGCGCTCCTCCGCCCGCCGCCGCTTCCGCCTGGGCGCCTCGTCGCCGCCGCCCGAGGGGCCTGCGCGGGCACCGAGCGAACCAAGGAGGGGCGCGCGGCCGGAGCTCTGAGAGGAGCGCGGGGGAGGAGGAGCCGCCGCAGCCACATCCGGGGCCTTGCGCCGCCACGGACCGCCCCCTCACGCTCGCCGCCCATTGGTTCACCGCGCCCGCCGTCCTTTAAATATGGCCGTGCCGCCAGCTGGGGGGGCGGGCCCGCGCGCCGCGCCTGCGCAGCAAGGTGTTGCTGGCCGGGGGCGGGTCTCCCCGGCGCTCCGCCCCTCCGCGGCCGGCTCCCGGCGGGTCCTTGGCTGAGCTGGGAGCACGAGACTCGGCGGGCGGGGTGAGGGCTGGGAAGCGGCCCGGGCGGAGCGCGCGTGCGCGTGGGTGAGCGGCTGCGGTTTGCACGCTCAGTGGACAGGGCCGGGGAGGAGCGCCAGGCCCCGCCCCCGCGCGTGCCGGCCCGGGCCTCGACTCTGGGCGCTGCGAATACTGGGGTTTTGCCCCCTTGGCCTCAGTTTCTCTTCCTACAGAAGTGGGGTCCGGACGACTCCCCTATTTTGCGCCAGGTGGGCCTCTAGCTCTCACCCTCGTGGGGGACCGGGGAGCGGCGGAGGCCCTGGGCGCCGGGTGTTCCCGGGGAGCCCCAGGACTCCCGCCCAGGTGTCAGCGGGGGGCGGCCGCAGCGGCCGCTCCCGGGAAGGCGGCGCTTCCGGCGTGGCAGCCTCCAAATATAACATGCTGAGCACACTTTCTCTTTTAATCCTGCTCCTCCTCCCAAAGTCGGCCGCAGCTTTCCATTTCCCTTAAAATAAATTCTGACTGGCTACCGGGGGCCTCGGAGGCCTCCGCTCGTCCCCGGGGCTGCGGCCCGGAGGCCCTGCCCACCTCCCCGGTCGTGGAGGAAGCTCGGCAGCCCTCAGTCGCTTAGTCGCGGGCCCTCCCCGCGTGTACTCCGCGTGATTAGTGACCGAGGGCGCGCGGTGTGTGTTTTTTTTTTGCCACCGTCTTGACTGTGAATATCATCAGATCAGGGACCAATATTGGGACCCGGAAAAAAAAAATAGTGGGTGGTGACTATAAAAATGAAATAGGCTGGGCGCGGTGGCTCACGCCTATAGTCCCGGCACTTTGGGAGGCGGAGGCGGGCGGATCACTTGAGGTGAAGAGTTCAAGTCCAGCCTGGGCAACATGGTGAAACCCTGTCTCTACTCTAAAAATACAAAAAAATTAGCCGGGCGTGGTGACAGGCACGTGCAATCCCCAGCTACTCGGGAGTCTGAGGCAGGAGAATCGCTTGAGTCTGAGAGGTGGAGATTGCAGTGAGCAGAGATCTCACCACTGCATTTCAGCCTGGGCGACAGAGTGAGACCCCGTCTCAAGAAAAATAATAATAAATAAAAATGAAATCGAGTAAGATAGAAAATATCAGAAGGCGTGGTGGGTGGCTCATGCCTGTAATCTCAGCACTTTGGGAGGCCGAGGCGGGAGGATCAGTGGAGGCGAGGAGTTAGCGATCAGCCTGGGCAACATATGGAGACCACATCTCTACAAAAAACCTTTTAAAAAATAAGGCGAGTGTGGGGGCACATATTTGTAGTTCCAGCTCCTGGGGAGGTGGAGGCAGAGGCGGGAGGATCGCTTGAGCCCAGGAGTTGGAGGCTACAATGGGCTGTGGTCAGACTACTGCACTCAGGGGTGGCAGCAAGACCCTATTTCTAAAGGGAAAAAAGAAAATAACAGTATCTTACATGGTAAAAGTAAGTATTATTTTGTGAAATATTTATTTCACCTGTTTGTATAAGTGTGGACTTGGTAAGGACCTAAAATGTATTTCTGACTATGCTGAGAAGATCTTACCTGCCCTGCAGGTTAGGTGCTGTGACTCCCCATTTGACCGAAGGGGAAACAGAGGCCCAGCACAGGGAGTCACACACAGGGAAGTTGCAGTCTGGCCTGGTGGCATCCTCCACAGGCTTGGGGCTGCAGCACACTGTCTCTTTTTCTCTTCACAAAGGTGAAGCCAACCTGCTCCCACCAGAGCCCAGCAATGGCCAGTAAGAGAACAGTGATGGGTTTAAGGAAGAGGACACAGGAAGCAGAAGAGAAGAGGGAAAATTCAGTTTCATCTGCCAAGATTGACCTGTACATTCCAGAATTGCTTCTTGGCCCCTGGAACGTCGTGTGCAGGAAGAGAACAGAGACAGCAAAGCCATGGAGTCAGCCCAGCTGAGGGAAGATAGGTCTCCAGCGACTGGGTCATCTGGCCCTGGGAAGCGCGACCCGGGGAATAGAGGTCTCCAGCGACCGGGGCATCTGGCCCTGGGAAGCGGCGCGACCCGGGGAATAGGAGTCTCCAGCGGCCGGGGCATCTGGCCTGCGGGGAATAGAGGTCTCCAGCGACCGGGGCATCTGGCCCTGGGAAGCACGACCCGGACTCTCTGCTTCTCAACATAGCACAGCCTTCCTCACTTGGACATACAGGGTGCACCTGTCAGGAGGAGGTGCCAACCAGGCCTCCCGAGTGACTTGGCCTGGTGATCTCGTGTGGAGTCAAAGTCCTTCGATCCCCCACCCCACCCCACTTTCCAAGTAAGGAAATCCAAGGTCATAGATCCTGTACTTCATGCCTCCTAATTTCTGAGCCACAAGCTTCTGGCTGTGTTGGGGCTGGGGTGCATGCTTCACTAGCAGGAGCTGGTTCTACCTTGAAACAGGAGCTGGCTTCTGAGCCCCAGGACTGAAAGCAGGGAGGGTGAAGTTCCCAGAGGCCTCCAAGTGCCCGCTCAGCCCATGGGTGTGCAGCTGGTGGTTCCCTGAGAACATTGGCCACCCTGCAAATGCCCAGGACGGCAGAGGCTAAAAATATACGTTGTGCCCAGGTCCAGGAATGCAGGCCCCGTTGTTCATTCCTTGGTGTCCTGCCCAAAGTGGAGGGCACTTGGGAGAGGTCTGAGAAGGCAAGCAGTTGTGCCAGGCCTAAGTCGACCTGGATATTCACTGGCATGGCTTGTTTTCCAGCTGGGGCATGTGTATCCAATTCCTCCACTATAAGCAGCTCTTTACTGTGCACAGGTCTGAACCCCACCCACCTGGTTATCACCAGGCTTTAGACCAGGAGCCCAAGGATCTAGAGGAACGAGCTGGGGCTTCTGGGAAACCCTGGGCCAGTTGGACTACCTGCCTCAGTGTCTCCTTTTGCCTGCCCATCTCAGTGGTGTACTTGAGGACCCCAGAAGATCATGCCTGTGAGGGTAACCAGGGGCTACTCTGGAGGAACATGTAGGAACAGAGGGCATGTGCAGAGGGCACTGGAAGGGCCCTAGGGGCAGCTGGAGAGGTTTGTGCTGCAGCCACAAGCCACTCATTACATGCTCGCCCTGTGTATGTAGGAGCTTACTGCGGTCCCCAGTGACAGGTGGGAAGACACGGAGGCAGGACCCTGCTCTACGTTGCGTCATCCGTCTAGCTGGGGTGGCACAGGCCAGCATCCTGCAGCAGGTAAGGGTGCCCCCCCCACAGAAAACCATCATGTGACTGTAATGTCTCCCTGAGCAAGAATGACTGGCACAGCCATTGATCTCACAGGTGTCATTGCTCAGCAGGAGCCACACGAAACAGCTGAGTTAATTCCCAGGGGGTTAACGATGGGTGGTCCACAGATAAAATAAGTCAGTGGTCTGAAGTGTGGTCGAGTGCTGGTGAGACACGACTCAACCGTCCCCCTCCCCTCATTCAGGATCTGGCACAGGAGAGGGGACTGGGGAAGCCCTGCAGGCCTCAGGCCTTCCTCAGGCCCCCTTCCCTGAGGAAGACCCTCCAACCGCACAGGTGCAACAGCGGCAGCCGGGAGGGAGCTCAGGAGGGCACAGGTGCACCAGGTGGAGAGGCTCAGCACCAGCTTTGCTCTGAGGACTTCCAGGCAGGGAATGGGACAGTGAGGCCCAGGGAGGGTGTTCGGGGCACAGGGAACCACAGGGGTGCTTGGACAGTAAGGTGAAGAGGGAGGGCTGAGTCGATCTTGCACAATCAGGAATTCTCATGGAGGTCTGACCTGCTCTCTTTGAATCCAGTTAAAATCCACTTCCTCCTGCACGGGGCTCTGCAGGGCTGTTTTCCCAGGAGGCTGGATGAGCACCAATGAGTTGAAGTTCAGGCATCCTCAGACCCTCTTCCCTCTTCCAATCTGTCTCTCCCTCCTGCCTCCTGTCCCCTTTCCACCTCCCTTTCTCCCCTTCCCACCCCAACAGCCGAGTTTCTCCGCATGATGAACCCTGTGTGATGGGAAGTTCCTTGGAAAATAAAAGAGGAGCGTGTTAAACTCCAGCACCCAGCGGGCAGCCTCGGCCCCACTTCCAGGTGCAGCTGGAGGGACAGCGGGGCGGAGCTGATGAGAACCTGGGCAGACCCAGACACCAGCTTTCGAAATGTCAGATTCTGATAGGGCCAGCCCTGGCACTGCCACCTCAGAATGCAGGATAAAATGCTGAGAGATCCTGGTGGAACAGAAGACGGCCGTCAGCAGGAGGCCAGTAGCTTTTCTCTCCCGGTGACTGTGAGAGGCCCCTGGGCTTTAGGGGCTCAGGAATGGCTGGAGTGGGGGCAGCATTCGCCAGCCCTGTGTTCTACTTGGATAGAAAGTAAACGATGAAAGGCCTCTTCTAAGTCAATCCACCACTGTCTTACTAAGTGTCCACCAGTCCGGTCCCACTGCTCTGTGCCAGACCTGGTACCCAAGCCGGCCACGCATTTCCTCCCCGAACCCCTCCGCAGCTCTCCGGATATGGTGCTGCACCTTCGAAGTGGAGGAAACCAGGCGCTTAGCGTGGGCTAGGTGACAGCCAGCATCATACGGCCAGCACATGACAGGGCTGGGATTCTTGGCTGAGTCTGCCAGCTGCTAACCCTGGGTGCTCAATGTCCGGGCTTCCTCCCTGGTGGTCCTCTGTGCTCAGCCTTCAGGTTGGGGCAGGGGGAGGAGGTAGTGAACGGCAGGAGGGGACAAAGCCCAGACACGATTTCTGCACTTGGAGCTCATGCTCTGCAGATGTCCAGATGGAGACCGACCTGAGGTTGGCGCTGGGCATGAGGGAAGGAAGCAGCTTCTTCTTCAAGGGTCTCTCCTCTTACATTGTATCCTCTCTTGACTCCATGCAAAGGATGCCGGGTGCGTCCCAGAGAGTTGCCATGGTTACTCAAGAGGCCTACGGGCGCATCCCAGCCAGGCTGGGCACTTGTCTTTACGCCTGCCTGATGCTGCACGAGCGGCTGCTGGGCAGAGCCACAGCCCGGGAATGAGGTCATGTAAACAAAGGAGCGGTGCAGATGTCGGGAGAGGTGTACCAGGCCTTCCAAAGCCTGTCCTCAGCCGGCAGCGCCGCCGGGGACCCTCGTCCGTGCACCGAGACATCCTCGCTGTCAGATGGAAAGCATTCTGCCAGGGCACGTGGTTATTTTTACTCGCGTTCAGTTCCGACTTGTTAACACCGTAATCCTTTCCTTATGTCGCTGCCTTCACCACCCTGAGCGCACAGGCTGGATTGAGGCTCTGTGTGGCAAGAAATGACGTGCATCGGAAGCCGGCAGGCACCCACACAGGCCCGCCGAGGCAGACCCTGGCGGTGAAGCCCATACCTGGGTATGTGGCAGTGTGTGCAGCAGAAGGGACAGAGCATGGGCCAGGTGAGAAGAAGGTGTGCCAGTGCAGGGTTGCCCCAGGCTTTTCCAACAGGTACCAGGAGCTGGATGGGGAGGATGGCGCCTGAGACATTTCTGGTGGCTCATCTCGTTGATACAGGCAGTCGCGGATGGACACGAATATGTGTTTGTCTTTCCCAAGCACCAGAACATGGAAACCCCATTTGCCCTGGGAGCCTTGTTACATTCGGGGCAGAGCGTGTTTACAAATGGCCTTCCCCACACACCGTGGAACCTCGGAATCTGGCCCTTCTGTGCTGGGTTGAACTGGAACTCGTGCCTTATTTATTTATGTGTCTAACAGCTTTACTAAGGTTCTTTCTTTATTACATTCTGTAATACTCACCCATTTGAAGTGTACAGTTCCGGCTGGGCATGGTGACTCATGCCTGTAATGCCAGCACTTTGGGAGGCCAAGGCAGGCAGATCATTTGAGGTCAGGAGTTTGAGACCAGTCTGACCAACGTGGTGAAACCCCCTCTCTACTGAAAAAAAAAAAAAAAAAAAAAAAAAAAAAAATTAGCTGGGCATGGTGGTGTGCACCTGTAATCCCAGGTACTTGGGAGACTGAGGCAGGAGAATCGCTTGAACCTGGGAGGCAGAGGTTGTAAAAAATAAAAAAAAAGAAAAAAGAAAAAAAGAAACCTTATGCCCATTAGCAGCCTTTCTCCATCCTCCTTCCTCTAGTCCCAGGCACCCACTGGTCTCCTTTTTGTCCTGGTGGATTTGCCTTTTCTGGGCCTTTCCCGTACTTGGAGTTATACCGTAGATGGCCTTCTATGCCCAGCCCCTTCATGTAGCGTGTCTCTTGGTTTCATGGTGCACCCGTTAGGGCTAAACGCAGTGCCACCGTGTGATGCTGTCACCAGCTGATGAACATGTGGCTTGTTTCCACTTTTGAGCAGTTACATATCATGCTGCTATGAACATTTGTGCGTGTTTTCGTGTGGACATGTGTTTTCATTTCTCCTGGGCACATACCCAGGAGTACAGTTGTAGGGTTATGTAGTGATTCTTATTTATTTATCTACCTACCTATTTATTTTTCAGATGGAGTTTCACTCTTGTTGCCCAGGCTGGAGTGCAGTGGCGTGATCTTGGCTCACCACAACCTCCGCCTCCCGGGTTCAAGTGATTCTCCTGCCTCAGTCTCCTGAGTAGCTGGGATTACAGGCGCGTGCCACCACGCCCAGCTAATTTTGTATTTTTGGTAGAGATGGGGTTTCTCCATGTTGGTCAGACTGGTCTTGAACTCCCGACCTCAGATGATCCACACGCCTCGGCCTCCCAAAGTGCTGGGATTAGGTGTGAGCCACCGCACACGCCTGCATGTGGTGATTCTTTGTTTGACAGTGTGAAAAGCTGCCAAATTGTTTGCCAAAGTGGTTGCACCACTTCCTGTTCCCAGGAGCCGTGTGTGAGGCAGAAACCTCACTTTTAAGATATTGGTTGTGGCTGGGGAAAGGGTGTTGGTGTCTCCATGGGGCTGTTCCTCCGCCCGGGGATGAAGGCATCTCCCTGCTCAGATGAGTGCCTCAAAACCAAGGGTCCATTCTGCCTGACAGCAGCTGCCTCAGGCACAAATGAGCAGAGCAGATAGAGGCTTCTTTTATATGGGCCGGGGTCGGCAGCCCCCTCCCGGGAAGAGCGACGAAGAGATTGCGACACATACAGCCTCCGCTTTGCCAGCCAGCCAGCCATATAAGTTCATGAGAATAGCAGCCATGCACCCTGAAACCCCCAGATCTCACCACTCCAAATCCTCAGTCTTCTTGGTACCATCCCTCCCCTGATGCTTCTCAGACCAGGCATTCTAATTTCTGAATAGTACGCCCCACATCCCCAAAACCTTGAAGTGAATGCACCAAGAAATTGAAAATAACAGCAGACAAAATTCCTAATAGTTGAGTGTGTGCTGGGCATTG